AATGAGCTCAGTGATGGACAAGAAGTAATATAACTAGAAGATCATCTAATAACTGCAATACTGGTTATATGAACAAAGGGCTGTAGGAGAAAAGTGAAAGTGAAAGTCGCTCAGTTGTGTCTCTTTGCGACCCCATCGACTATACAGTCCATGGACTTCTCCAGGCCAGAATACTGGAGTGGGTAGCCTTTCCCTTCTCCAACCCAGGGATCCAACCCAGGCATCCCGCATTGCAGGCAGATTCTTTACCAGCTGAGCCACAAGGGAAGCCCAAGAAAACTGGAGTGGGTACCCTATCCCTTCTCCAGGGAATCTTCCCAACCCAGGAATCGAACTGGGGTCTCTTCCATTGCAGGCAGATTCTTTACCAACTGAACTATCAAAGAAGCGACTCAATTTTTCTAGAGGGAGAGGAAGAAGTCATAGATGACTTCACAAAGGAAGTGACATTTAAGATAGGTAACACATTTAAGATTTAAAAAAAAAAAAAAGAGTGATTAATATATCATTCAGCAATTCAGCTACCACGCTGCCACTCCTAAATGATGAGCATTAGGTCAGCCACTGGTACACAGTGTGGTCGAGACCCTCAAGAAGCTTACACTCTAGGTACATTTTGCCAATTCTAGAAGGAATCAAGGTCGTTCACTTGCATACCTCGTTCTTTTCACTCTGGCTTCTTTCCATCTCATTTTACTAGACTCATACACCACAAAAGACTTTTAAGTTCAAAGTTTCTATTTTTCTTTTTTCATTTTTGATGTAATGGGGGAAAACAATGGTATGGTAAATATTGACTGTTAGTTCTACCACTTAGCTGTTTTCTTACAACATTTATTTATTCATTCATTTACTTATTCAAGCATCATTTATTAAGCCCTTACTGAGTATCAGTGGGTACCCAGGAATTGGGATACAAAGGTGAAGACTGTCTGGCAGAAGAATCAGAGATGCAAAAATTCAAATGCTGTGTGATACTGGTTGCAACTCAGATGGAAGAAGAAAAGGAGAAATTGACCCTGCTCAGAGAGGTCAGAGAATAACTCAAAGAGAAGAGGATGCTTTAATTACTCTCTAGTGAACTGGAAAGACATTCCGGATGTAAAGATAGCAGGTGAAAATGGACACAGAGCCCAAGCAATCAGCTGTGCTGTCCTGTGTTGTTTCCTCTCAAGGGCTCTTGCCTGGGAATTCTGCTTCCATCCTAAGCACGGAAAAGTGCAGTCATTTCCTTCCATGCTTTCTGATTACAATTTTTTTTTTCTTTTAGCATGCATTTTCTTCCATGTTTCTCAAGCAAATAATCTCAACACAATTCTTATTTTCACACCTTAAAATGCCAAATATTAGCATTTTATTTTCTAATGTCACTAAAACATATACTTCGCCTCCAACTCTAAAGAAGAATTTGTGGATAAAGATATAATCGCAGTTACATTTTCATTTAAGTATTCTTCACAACAGTTTATCTAAAATACTTGAGGCGAATTGCATTTCAAAATTCAGAAACTTTTTTGGACTTTAGGAAAGAAAAATGGTACATTTACTACATTATATCTAATACCTCCAGCAAGATTCGGAGTGGCAACCTGGACTCAAACACATTAGTCTCTCTGCAGTAAACATGCAAATGTTCACTCTAAGAGGAATAAATAAAGATTATAAATAGCCTCACATCAGTTCAGGCCAGGTTTGCTGCCAAATGAGTTATGTGAAGCATTTGGTTTCAGAGTTTTTTGGGTTTCAGAATTGTTAATGAGAGAATGTGGACTTGTGGTTATCCTTATTTTATAGTTTAAGACACAGATTTAGAGAGATTAATTAACTTGCCTGAGTTGCTTAGCTAGTAAGTGACGAAGCCTCATAGAAACCCAACAGGCTTACTCTGAACTCTGCCAGTAACCACTGTCCCACATGCAGCAAGCAGACATTTCACTTTTATTGAGCTGCCAGGTTTTTGCCAGGTAAAGAGGGAATTAAGGTAACTGAGTATAAAATAAAAGGGTTTGGCTATAGATGCCTCTCCTTTTTTGATGATACTGTGAATAGTCTCAGCTTCCTAATCCTCGCAGACATCCTCATTGCTGACTGTCTGCCTGGACTCTGGATGTCATTCCTTTGAGAACTGTCTCTGTCCTTACAATTCTTCTTGCTTACGTGTCTTTGATCCAATAGCTGAACTAACTCCCTGGTTCCTCGATGGGCATGTTCAGCCACTGGCTATACAGAACCCAGGGTGCTGCTTCTCTGGATTTCCTCTCCCGATTCTCTATGTCATTTCTCTTCCAGCTCAAAATCACTTTTACCGGCTTTCTCCCACAAAAGAAGCTTGTGTTGTGTCCATCACTATCTTCTCAGTCTCTGACTCTATTCAGTTGCTATTCTCTTCATTCCTCTTGGCAACATGGATCTTTGTGTTCTTCCATCAGAATCAAGGTGTTAAAATGCTGATTTCCCGACCCACCCTTGACCAGTTAAATCGGGATCTCTAGGAGTGGAGCGGGGGAATCTCCACTGTCAGACGCATGCCACAGAGTATTCAAGCACCATGAGTTGGCAATCGACAGCTCTGTGGTGGAGCAGAGCTATGACTGCCCTTCCTATGGGATCTACTCTCATGCTTGGGGCACAAATTTGTACAACTTGCACCATAAGACCAGAACAAACTATAAATGCCTGACTTCTTGCTCTTCCAGAGTCACATGAAGAAACATTGCTTGGGAATTTTAATCAATTAATACGTGAGGCATGCATTAGGGAGAATATATTAAATATATTAATTACTTGAAAGATAACATGACTAATTTGGCCAAATCCTTGTTTCCATGGCTCAAGTCTCATTTTCCTCCATCTTCAAACACTGTACTTAATTGGTTTCTTCTAAATTTCTACTCTAATTTATTCTAGCCTGACCTCTGAGTGAAAGATTAAGTAGAGTAACAATTATACTTTCCAAACAAATTTTTTTCCTGTCTAAAGAAGCCTGCTACTTCTAGTGGGGCTTTTTAAAAGCATCTGCATCTTCTCTTATTTCCCTATAGCATGAAAACATGGTAATAAGTAGCATCCTACTCTTTAGCTAATGAGAATATAATATGAATTATTGTCAAAGATGCACACACACATACCAGGAAAGAACAGCTAGGAAGCCACCTGTACTGTGGACCCAGAGTGCTTTGATTCACTATTTGGAATATTAACCTAAAGGAGATAGTCACCTATTGTTTGAGTCATGTCAGCCCTCACCGGAGACTCTGGAGCGTAGATCTATTTACCAGACCATCTGCTTGTTCCTCAATTTAGTGCTGAGAAATGAATCAGTAATACAATCACATAGGCAAGTTCTTCTTTTTTTTAACAAATGATAATACTGAAAATTACACTTACAATTTTGATGAAGGCTGAGCTTACCAAAATAAAGTCTAAACCTAGATTCAAACTATCTGAAAATCAGTTTCCACTTATGTTATTGACACAAGCGTCTCCATCATTACCCATCTTTTATTTGAATATGTAAGTTTTGAAATGAGTGTGGAAGTCCTTAAGAGACGAAATGACACAGGTCAATGCAGCCTCTTCCATTTCAGCTGTCATGATGACTGCATACATTTGAGACAATGCTTTTATAGATGGCCATAAACTATCAAAACTATCATGTGTCAGAAACAATTAACTTGATATATTTACATTGCATGAGCGTAAAGTTATTTGTAAATTTTTTTTTAGTTATGAACAACCTTGGGATATTGATGATCATTGATAAAGGCATGAACACTCACTGTCTAAATACTTCCAGACTCAGTTTATGATAATATGATTAGTTACACTAATAATACTGCTTAGGCAGAGTCTTGCTAATTATAATATTATAAATATTAATGTCACCCAGCCTTTCTGTTTGATTGCCATTCGTGGAGTCATTCATCACGATATTTTCCTGGAAACCAGCAAGATTTTATTTTTCCCCCCTTTTATTTTTGAACACTGGACTTGGAGTCATTCATACACATTAATCTATAAGAAGCTCTTATTTTTGGCTATCTGTTCAGAGAAGAATAGTGATATTTCCAATTAAAACTAGTCAAATGTAAATCATTATATGATGTTTCTCTTATTCTTTCTGAGTCCCTAACCCTGCCATCGAAAGCACAGAACCCAGGGTTTTTGTTTTCTATTCTTTTTCATGTGACCTGTTTCAAGTTAAGATTCATTTGAATTATTAAATGCTTCCTTAAAGAATCTTTTTATACTTGCCTCTCTTTTTTTAAAGTTAATTATTGATGTAGTGACAAGCTGAAAAGACTAAGAATTACAATTTTTTCCTCCCCTCATTCAGGACTCAAGAAACGTCTTCTGACAATGGTTGTCTATTTAGAATAATACAAAGGAAATACAAAGGCAAAATACTGAATGTTGTTTCAGAAAAGATTTGCTAAAATCACTGTATTATACAAAATGTAAATGTAGTGTATATTTCTCTGAAAATAGCAGTTAGAGAGAAAGTTGGGACATAACCTTTTGAGCCCAGATTTAACCACACACATAGCTGAAGCAGTTACAAAAGATACTGATTAGATTTTAATTTTAAAAACTTCATCATATTATTCAGGGCTCCAGTGATTTGATTGTCTGAAAATAGAAAGGTAATGTTATAATTTCCAGAGCTGGTTAAAGAATAAAGAAATCTCCAGCCTCCCACTGGAAAGAATGCCAGTCATCACCACAGTAAGCAAAAATTTGGAGGCATTTTATACTATAAACTTCAATCTTTTTCCTTTATATGACCTTGTATTATACAGGTTTCATAAAAATGTAGCTCAGAGACCTGTCATATAGTTGTAATCAAGGCTCCTTCAGAACGATTCTACTGTGCAATCATATCCAATGGGGCATCTGTGTTTCCCCTGTTAGTAGGATGGTGGGAGGGCAAACAAGACCTGAAATGGAAAATGAAAAAATGCAGAGTCCTCAAAGACAGCCCAAGAGAGGCGACCACATACCTTTCCCACAAGTTCAGCAATACAAGGAACTGGTTTCCCTTTCTGGTGACTCCTCGTGGCTGGACTCTGCCCATCCCAGTCCTGTAGTTCTTCAATGCTTTTCAGATAAAGCAAGGCTTTGAGGCCAGTGCAGTAGTCTTGAATGATAGTGAAGTCCTGATTTTGAACAGCACTGCATACCTAGAAAAGGTAGAGCAACCAACAGAATGTCAGGTCAGTTTAGTTCAGTTCAGTTGCTCAGTCATGTCAGACTCTTTGCAACCCCATGGACTGCAGCAAGCCAGGCCTCCCTGTCCATCACCAACTCCCGGAGTTTACTCAAACTCATGTCCATTGAGTTGATGATGCCATCCAACCATGTCATCCTCTGTTGTCCCCTTCTCCTCCCACCTTCAACCTTTCCCAGTATCAGGGTCTTTTCAAATGAGTCAGTTCTTTGCATCAGGTGGCCAAAGTATTGGAGTACCAGCTTCAGTCAAACCAAGAACTAATTCTCTAAACAGACTCACTTTTCAGACAGTCAACACAATTTATTTTATATGCTAGGCACTGGTCTAAGCATGATGTGTCAGTCATTGCCTGCAGGTGATAGGAATGTTAGGGAAGGAAAAACTGTCAAGGGGCACAGGGAAACTTTCAGGGACTATGGATACTTTCATCAACTTGATGTGGGGACAGTCTCACAGGTATATACATATTTCAAAACAACAGGCTGTATACTTTAAATATGTGCAAAGTGTTAGTTACTCAGTTGTGTCTGACTTTGCAACTCCATGGACTGTAGCCCTCCAGGCTCCTCTTTCCATGGAATTCTCCAGGCAAGAATACTGGATTGGTTTCCATTCCCTTATCCAGGAGATCTTCCCAATCCAGAGATTGAACCCAGGTCTCCTGCATTGCAGGCAGATTCTTTACCATATAAGCCACCAGGGAAACCCTTAAATATGTGTAGTGTACTATATATCATGTATAGTCAATATGGCTATAAAAAATTAGGTCCAATAGGTAGAATTTCTAAGGAGTTAAATTCAGTACAACATAAGAATGGACATTTTAATCTCTCATTTTCTCTCTGTTGAGATGTACTGCTTGAAGGTACATGTCTGGGCTGGTCATGTACCTTGTTTGAAGGTGGTCATGCTGGGCTGGAATGCTCGCATAAGTTAACTCAGTCCTCAGGTACCAATGCCTACCTCTGTAGCTTCATCTATTGTTTTTCTTCTTTGTATTCACTATGCTCCAATCACCTAGGTCTTTCCTCTTCTCCTCAGATTTGCCACATTCTTTCTTTGCCTTGAGACCTCATAAGACCTTGCTGCCTGGAAGGCCTTTGCTTTTTACACGTGGCACAGCTTCAATCTCATGGGAAATATTACTTCTTCAAGGAGGCCTCTAGGAGTTCCATATAGATTAAAGCCTCCTTAACTCATACAGTTTTGACTTCTAACTTTTGCAAGATTATTTGATTGATAGCTCCCTTCTCCAATAGACTGAAGCTTTAAGAGGGAAGAACCTATATTTATTTTGGACAACATATTATCCCCAGTGACTAGCATAGAGTTTGTCACTTATTCTGCTCTTAATAGAGATATGTTTAATGAATGCATATGCAGGAGAGATTGTTTTTATTTGCATGACCATTTGTTAGAAAACAGAGATTTAATTCTAGAGTTAAGGAAGGCTGAATCTGAGAAATTTAGGATCCTTCTAAAAACAATAATTTGAGAGTCTGTTAGGATTTGAGTTAGAGCTTGAATTTAGTGGATTTAGAGAAACACTTCCAGATTGATTACTTACAAAGATAATTCTCCAATTTTTATACTACACATAGACTCCAGAAACTCATTTACAACTGCTGGTAGGACCTCTTCATCCATATGGCTGACCATCACTTAAACAATAAATTTATCACCTAGAATCCAATGACTCTCTACATCCATATTTCAAATCAATCCAAAGAAACAACCATCCAAACAAAAGTAAGCAAAGCAAAACTCATTTCTAGCTTATCTTCCCAGATGTTAGATTCTTAGCATATATCATCGTGCCTGGTGATAGCAGCCAATAAAGGAGCTCCAATACTTTGGCCACCTGATGCAAAGAGCTGATTCATTGGAACAGACCTCGATGATGAAAAATTTAGGCCAAGAGGATAGGGGGCAACAGAGGATGAGATGGGTGAATGGTATCACGGACTCAATGGGCATGAGTTTGAGCAAATTCAGGGAGATAGTGATGGACAGAGAAGCCTGGTGTGCTGCAGTTCATGGGGTTGCAAAGAATCATACACTATTTAGCGACTGAATAACAACAGCAATGAAAACTCATGTCATACGTGAATGTAGATGAGGAAATACCTGAAAATAGAAGGATAAACAATATTCTATTTCAAGGTCTCTTAAAGCCTTCTGGGTGTTTAATTACTATATTTCATTACAATCCTCATGCCTAGCACACTACCAGATACTTAGCTGTTGCTAGACTGGTTGAGAAAGTTTCCTGAAAACACACTCAGAGGCTCGGGAAATAGATAGAAACAGAGAAAGGGCAAGAAGAATGTACACCTAGCAGTTCTCAGCAAATAGTGGTAGTAATTTCATGATGTATATATAAAAAAGGCCAAATGTGGGATTCTGGGAATAGAAGCATTTAAAATGAAGGCTTAAGGAAGACAATGAAGGACACTCAGAAGAGACACAAGATAGCATCACCCAAGATGTCAAATGCTGCATGAAGGGTCAATAATATCAGAAGTGAAAAGGTGTCATTAAATGTATCAGTCAAAAGAGTAGCATTTATGGCGGAGAATTTCTGCAATAGGGCAGAAGCCATGTTACGATGAATTGAGGAGTGGATGAGGATTGAGGAACTGAAGATATGAAGATGGAATGATCTGATGAGAAGTTTGGCTCGTGTAAGAAAAAGAGCAGAGCTAGTGGTATAAGTAGGAGAATTTTCTGTACTATTTTTATAAGGATGAAAATGGCTGTGTTTTAAGGGAATGTGGCCATTTTATATTTCAGAATAAAACAGAATGGCTTCTGTATATTAAATTTCTGTCAAACTTGGTTGAATGATGATGTGGGAAGAATAAAACAATGCAATATATAACATGAGGTAGGCTCTTACTATGGACCACACACTCTGTTCAACACTTTTTAATGTATTATATCATGCAGTCCTCAAAATAACACTAAGAGTTAGGTTTAATTTTTAGCTCTATTTTACAGATAAGGCAAATGAGATGCAGAGACATTAACTGATTTGTCCCAGGCAGGCCACATGGTTAGAAAGTGGATTATACTACATAATTCATGACCATGCAGGCTAAGGTGACTTAGGTATAGACATTCACAGCAGAAAAACTCTTTTCATATAACAAAAATTATTTTTTCCATGAACCAAAACCATGCATATGTATTTTAAATGGGCAATTATCTTCAATCCAAATATAACTATTGTTTTGAAAAAGTGATACTGGTAGATAAAAATTGTCAATGTCTTCATGTTTTATTTCCTTCTTACTTGTATAGTATGAGTAAAAACAAGCCAAAATCAAAAGCAGAAATAAAAACCTTTCATTTCCTGTTGTGAAGGGCTGTATGTTACCACAATGTAGGAAAGAACATTGAGTAACTAAATACAGACAAGAATATTTTCTAGGAAGTCCATTTATATCACATAAAAAAACCTGTTTCTCAGGAAGAACAGTTTAAGCATTAATTAGGCCTGTTATAACTTTCTTAGAGTTGATTTTCTTTTCAGAACAATGATAAAGAACATCATTATAATCTCCTCCACAGGATTTTTTTTTAACTGTAAAAGTCAACTGATGCTTTACTTAATCTTCTTTGTTCACTGTGAGATTCTATTTTTTTTTTGTAGTATATGCTAATGGGTACACTTTTACTATAGTCTTAAAACATTTCCCCATACGAACATAAGAGATCAGATTTTGAAAATCACATCATGTCATGTAACTTATAGGATGTTCACGATTGCTGTGAAAACGTGCCGCTAAAAGAACTCTAAAAAGGACTCTAGCTACTTTGCAATGTATGAATAGTCAAGTTTAGTCTTATCCTCCCTAACTTTCCTGGTGAGAAGATACAGAAGCCACTACTTCCCTTAATCCACAAACAATTTGTAAAGAGCAGACTCAAGCAAGTGGTGCCAGAATGATCAGAGTGACTTGTGTATTTTAACTATGGAAGATCATATGTTAACTCTGGAAGATCATAGTCTTTAGCTGAAGACTAAAAAGACTTCCTCTTTTCCTCACACTCTTGTATGCTCTTTAATCTGTAGTGCTCACATAATTGGGAGCTACACTGAGCCTGTGAAGAGGACACAGAACTTGAAGAGGGAGGAGAGACTCCCAGGTGGTGATCGAACATGGCTGGGATGGTGTGCTATGCTGGAAACCCTGGACGCCACCATCAGGCATAGGTGTCAGAGGGGACCACTTCAGACATGTTTTATCATAAAGCAACTCTCACACTATTCATATACTTTCATAGAATAATTTAACTTTTCTTCCCATAAGATTAAACATTAATTTTCTGAAAGAATTTCTGATAATAGAAGCTTTTACATTGCTATCTCTTTGAAAAATGTGATACACACACACACACACACACACACACACATATTATTAGAGGGTCTTATTAAATTGTAGATTCTGTTTCTGTAGGTTTGGAGTGAGTTCCAAGTTCCAAGTTTCTGCCTTTGTGACAAGCTTCCAGGTGGTGCTGAGGTTGCCGACTACACTTAGAATAACAAAGATTTAAGCACTGGTGGGGATGAATCTTTTCTTATCTTAGAAATGCCTTCTGCAAAGTAAATTTCTTCCAGACAAATAATTTCCTGCTTTTTGTTATTAAACTGCAATATTTTGGCCCTTTAAAGCTCTACTTAACAATAATGTTATATGTGAAAACACAAGAGTAGTTTTCTGATGAAGTAGTAGTGAGACTGGAAATAAATCTTAGGATGCAAGCAGAACTATAGGGAACAGGGCTTTGTCCACGGGATTTGATGCTCAGAAAATGGATTTGCTCAGAAAGGTGCCTTGTTCTTGCCTAACTTGCACTGAGGGCTTTATCTCTATCTCAAAGGTAAATGGTTCCTTTTAAAACTCCAAACATGTAGCTGCTATTCCTAAATGGGTGTATTTTATA